CATGCACTAGGTTGACCCTTGGTTCACATATCCGCATTACTGCGGGCCGTGTTTTGCATGGGCACTTGAGCCCATTCATTTGAATGGACTCCCGTGCCCCGGGACACGGGGAAGTCCCTGCACTTCTTTGGAAACCGCAGTCCGCATGGGAACCTCAGTTCCTAGTGCAGTTGCGATTTCCAGTGCGGGCTGCATGCCATTACAATTAATGGCACCTGCCCGTGGGTCCACATTCTTCTGTGTGGGTGGTTCGGCTGCACAGATTTTTGTGCAGATCCACAGTGGCACCACCCGCACATATGTGAACCTAGCCTAAGAGCCAACCAAAGCTTGGATAGTGAAAAGTGAAGGAGAATAAAAACAATCATAAGGGCAACATTCTGCTATTTTTCACCTATCAGGAAGCTTCTAGTGTTTGATGGACAAGATTGTGCATTAAGCAGCGCCTGACTGGCTCAGAGTGATGCTCCTTTTCTTTCCTGTCCAAACGTGCTGCTGTGCAGATGATTAAAGGAAGATAATATCAAGACAAATGTGGGTATAATACTAGTTGTACTGTATGCAAAATATAATCAATAATATTTTAATAATGCTTAACTGAATTAAAGTGACTAAAGTTTAGATTTAAAGTTCAAATATACAGTACTGTGCAAATGTTTTAGCAGGTGTAAAGAAATGCTGTAACAAAACTTTCAAAAATATGTATTTTAACTGTTTATTTTGATCAATTTACAAAATGCAAAGTAAGCAGACAGAAGAAAAATCTAAATCTAATCAACATTTTGTGAGACTACCCTTTGGCTTCAAACCAGCATCATCAGTACACTTGCACAAAATCTGGGATTTTGTAGGATTAGTCAAGTGTATGATTAACCAGTTTTATGAAGCAGGTGCTAATAAACATCAATTTCATATGTGGATTGAAACACAGTCATAAACTGAAACAGAAACAGCTGAGTAGGAGGCTTAAAACTGGGTGAGGAACAGACAAACTCTGCTACTAAGGTGAAGTGGAAGACAGTTTCATGTCACCGGTCATACACCATGGCAAGACTGAGCACAGCAACAAGACACAAGGTAGTTATACTGCATCAGCAAGGTCTCTCCCAGGCAAAGACTTCAAAGCAAACTGGGGTTTCAAGATCTGCTATTCAAGCTCCTTTGAAGAAACACAAAAAAACAAGCAAATGTCAAAGACTGAAAACAGAGTGGTTGGCCAAGGAAACTTAATACAGCAGATTAAAGCCACATCATGCTTACTGCTCTTCGACATTGGAAGATGTTCAACAGTGCCATCAGCTCAGGATTGGTGGAGACCAGTGGGATCCAGGTACACTATCTACTGTCTGGAGAGGTCTGACCAGAAGTGGTCTTCATGGAAGAATTGTGACTAAAAAGCCATACCTCTGACGTGGAAATAAGACTAAGCAACTCAACTATGTCTAAAAACATAGGAACTGAGGTGCAGAAAAATGGCAACAGGTGTTTTGACTGATGAGTCAAAAACTTGAAATATTTGTCTGTAGCAGGAGGCAGTTTCTGCCGAAGGGCAGGAGAGTGTTACAAAACGGAATGTCTACAGGCTACAGTGAAGCATGGTGGAGAATTCCAAATGTATTCTGCAGCACGACAACAGCCCCAAACATACATCCGATGTCACTAAGAACTATCTTAAGTGTAAATAAGACCAAGGAGTCCTGGAAGTGATGGTTTGGCCCCAACAGAGCTCTGATCTCAACATCCTCAACTCTGTTTAAGATTACACAAAGAGAGAGAAGGATTTGAGGCAGCCTACATCCAAAGAAGATCTGTGATTAGTTCTCCAAGATGTTTGGAACAACCTACCTGCCGAGTTCCTTCAAAAAAACTGTGTGCAAGTGTACCTAAAAGAATTAATGCTGTTTTGAAGGCAAAGGGTGGTCACAACAAAAATTGATTTGATTTGGATTTTTTTTTTTTTGTTCATTTACTTTCAATTTTGCTAATTGATAAAAATAAATTATTAACATATCTATGTTTCAAAGCATTCTTAATATACAGCATTTTTTCACACCTGCCTAAAACTTTTGCACAGTAGTGTATAGCTGAACAAAAACCTTGAAAGTGCTATTATTCTCTTATAAACCCTTGAAGGATTATTAGAACAGCACAGCATTACAAATATTCTCCATATAGGATGTTCAACTGACTTTGACATGTCCAGACCTTGAAAAGGTCACACATTTCTGTATTATTTCACTTCTTCACACAAACCCACAAGTTATTTTGTGAGTTCTGCTATGTCGTATTGAGCTGAATGAGCTTCAGAATATATTTCCTTGGCTTGACGGCAAATTTTATTAAATGTCCACATTGGGTTGTAGTGATCATCTGTGGAAATGAAGGGATGTCATTATCTTCCTGGAAATGGAAGCCAGTTTGAGCCATCCGAGGACCTTTCAATTTCATTTTTTCATTTTATGACATTGGTGAGAACGAATATATATATATATATATATATATATATATATATAATATATATTATACATACACACTGCCTGCATGAATAGAAACATACTGTAAGCTACTATGGCAAATTTAAGGTATTTCTATTACATTTTTCAATAAAAATGGTTATGGCTACAAAATAATTTATGCTTAGTGATCAAATAAACTGTTGTTTTATCTACCAGCTGTCTTTTCCTTCTGATAGCATATACAGTATTTATATCATACACAGACTACAAATAGTTGAGTGAAAATTATGGAGATCTGAAAATAGCCTTATATGGACCATGGATTCATGTAATCAAATATTCAAATAAGTCTGTGCTGCCATATATTAGTACTCCACAGTCAACTAAGGCTTGCTAGATCTGAGTGCTCTGCAGGATAGTTTTATAGATCTAATGGTAGAAGCCCTAACTGAAAAAAAATGCTCTTCTAGATCTGGTAATTTGTATAATACAGAGCTCTTTTCAGATGTGCAAGCTGGCAATAGTGACTGGAGTGTAATTCTGTTTGACATAAGAAAAGAGTTGTGTGGGTTGAACAAAAAAAACTTTCACTGTGTACTAGGCTTTACTCATGGCGCAGCCACAATTCTTTGCTTCATGGGTGTGGCAAAAATGAACCCCTCTGTTGCATTCCTTAAGCTGTACAGTTGCTGAACATGACCATAATTATTGGGGCCATGCTGCAACCACCTCCCAGCTGTCGATCAATCAACCACTGTGGATCACTTTAGGGGTAGCAGTATCTGCCGCAAGTGAGAATGAGCCCTAAAGGCATGTTTTCAACAAAATAAGTGTAATCTGTCTAAAGTGAGCTTCTACAAACATAATTTTGTGTGTTGTTTTTTTGTAATTAATTATTATTGCATTGGGAGTGAGTAAGCTGAGAATAATTCTTGTTTCCTAAAGGTCCTCAATTACAACTCGTATCATTTTGCTGGCAAATGGCACAATTTATGTGGCGGGGCTTAGCACTGTCACCCTAGAACCATTTCAAGCCAGATTATGTTCAATTTGAGGCACAAGTGTTTTAAAGCAAACCAATTAATTGAGGCTTACCAGTTGAGACTACTGGGTTATATAATGGCCAGATACAATAATCTAGTCTAGTAAATGGCTGTATTACAATTTACAAAAATTAAATATAAAACAGATGAGGTAATAAAAAACATATTTAGAGCTTGCATGTGTTAACAAAGATTGAGTTTTGTGGATTTACAAAAAAACCCATAATATCTCAAATATCTTCAGGTAGGATAGACCTGTGGAAATATTTACTAATAAAACTAGCAGTATCACCGCTGCTAGGTGATATGTACTTAAAGTTATTCAGTGGAAACCACCAAATAATACACAATAGCAGTGACTGCCAATTTACAATGTATAGGGACATCAACTAATACCACCGAATGGCCATTCAAAATGTTCAATACAGAATATGTAATGCTAGGGTGGATTGTCACATGCTGGAGGTTTGGTTGGAGAGTGGAGACTTGCTGCTGTGAGATACTGGAATTATATTACATGAGATCAGTAGATACTAAGGATATTACTGCTTTACAAATAAATGATCCTTTTCTAACTATAGTCTGGTTCCAACGGTTGCATGACAAGTTCAAAAGAGTCGTTCATGGTCCTAGGGTCATAGGTTGGGCTGCAGGGTACTACACCTTAACAAGCTAAAGACCAGTCAGCTGGTAACTGGCTCACAGTTCCATCAACAAACACAACTTGCTCTAAATACCATGATACGTTTGTTGAATTCCTTCAGACACTTTAGTCCCTGCTTCTGAAACACATTACTATTTGGTGAATTCATACAGTATATGCATGTAAACATCATAGCCAGTAAAAGTGTGAGGAAACAATTTTTGTTTTAAAGAGACTTTATTTTCCTCTCTCTTGCCACACTACATTAAAACCCTATACTGTAATGAAAAATAAGACATCTAGTCTCTGGACACTTAAGCCACAGCATGAAACAGTACAATGCATTACAGACAGTTCATAGCAGCACAAGTAAGATATAGCTTATTAAACACTCTGCAAATGTACCAAAACTTCATCAGAGAAACTTAGTTTCTTAAGCACCCTTCTGAGAAACCAATACAAAAAATAATATTTTGTTGAGAAGAAAAAAAAAATTGCTCCAGAAAGAGTATGATCATTAAGGTTTCTATGGGTACATTAGATCAGTCCCAATTTCCATCACAATCCAACAGCAACCTGAGATAATTCTTGGTTCCATTATGTGCGAACATTAAATACACAATGCGGTACATGGCTCCTACAATGTGTTTGTTGGCATACTATGGCTTTAATGTTGTGCACGTAGCCCATCTATTTGTTGTCATGTGCTGACGTTAGACTCTGTCCAGGCAGGAGAACTCTCATCATTTGTGGTGTAAGGTGCTTTACGGGAAATCCTCTTTAGTTTAAATAGTCTGCAAGCAGCCACGCGGTATTTTTTTGACATAATGTTATATAAAATCGGGTTAATGGCAGCACTCAGGTAGAAAAGCACAAAGAAACCAAGTTACAGTATTGACTTATCAGAGCGATTTCCAAGGATCCAGCTTCAAAAGACTTGGAAAACAAGTAGCGTGCCACGTGGAAGGGCAACCAACACAGGATGAAGGCAAATACCACGACAGCTGGAAAAAGAACATAAAAAATATATAAATTATACAAACTAAAACACAAATATGTAAATGACTATTTGAAAAGCTTTAATTAAAATCACAAAAGGATAGAAAAGTAATGTTTCTGGCAGAGTGAATAATTTAAAAATAAAACTCTCCCAACAGTTATCCAAACAACTGACCAACCATTACAGTCTGTATAATTTATATGAGCTTTTTTTCTTAGTTCTTCTTACCGGAATTGTAGTAGCAACAGTCTACAGGTATACAAGGATGATTTGAGACTACTTAAGCACATTGTTCTGTAGGTGGCTTAAGACCAGTAGGATTCACAAATACGGCCCTCCCAAGCAGCGAGTGTTGAACTGAGGTACCTGGGGCCCACTAGAGGAAATTAAAGGGAGGGCCTACCCTCAAACAGTGAGCGTAGCTTGTCATGTCAGAGACTGGCTGTGATGGTGTTTAACAGGTAAGTATGATTTCTTGTGAACAAGGTAAAATAGGGACAGTCTGAGGAAGGCATTTTTCCAACATAATCATTTAATTTGCTTGAAAGTAAAATAACAGTGGAATATGCAGATTACTGCTCACAAAAGAATTTCAAATCTGCATTCTGATATCCTTTGTAATAAAACCTTATTGACAATAGGGTTGATTTACTAAAAGCATATACATTTTTCACTTTGCAAGTGAAGTTGCGCTCTGGAACCGAATTTTCCCCAACGCTTAGTGAATTTTGTGAAAAGAATACCCAATCACAGACAAGGAAAATAAAAAAGCAACATTTTTGCTTGCATATGATTGGATGTTGGAAGTCACCAATTCTTCACCTAATTCACTAAGCTTTAGGGAAAATTCCCTTGTAGAGTGAAACTGCACTTGCAAAGTGAGCAACCCCAATGAGTCAACACTGTCACCAACCTGACCTCCTCCATTTGATGTATTTCACTTCTATAAGAGTTTTAATCAGATAGATTATTCTGCTGCTTTGCATCTGTTTAGTCATATCCATCTATTTCTATCATTTGTAGAGAGTTGAACCTAAAGTATCTGTGGCCATTTTTAAAAACATTTTAGTCTAGGGAATAGATAAAGGCCAGGTTTGTTTTTTTTTGTCATCTGTGTCCCAGTGACCACAAGAAATGAGAATAAATCTCTCCATGTTATCTCTAGGAAAGAATCCCCATTTGAGGTTTTCCCCTCCATTATTTTTCCAGTGAGAGGAAAATTTATGATTTTCCTTGCATTCAACCTCAGTGACAATAGCCACCAGGACTACTGAATACCTTAATATTTTTATAGTTTTTATTATGTATTATAATATATGTACATAAACTATTGGTTTTTTTTTTAAAAAGTGCTTTCAGAGATGTGTTTTTGTCCCTGAGAGATTAAGCACCAAAGAAAATCAAGTTTCTCTGTTATTTTGTGGGCCAGTAATGTAATTGTTAGGATGTGGTGCATAGAATATCCATTCCCATACTTAGCTCTCTGTTGTCCCCCAGTGTTTCCTAGTGAACAGGACTCCAAGTGACACCAAGACCCCTAGTGTCCCTAACTTTCTGAGAGACTCCTTTTGACCCTGGGATTGCTTGTAATCCTGTAGTATGACCCCCCCCTTGTTCCTAATGACTGTTTGCAAATGTCCCCTAGTGCCTTCCAGAGTGATCTCCATAGCCCCAGTGTTCCCTATGTCTTCCAGCCTGTCCTCAGTGACTCTCTGTGTTTTCCTACTTGCAACCTGTATCCTTGCACATTTAGAATCCTCTGAGCATTTCAGTGTACTTGTACCCCTTGTTTGTCCTTTCAGCTTTTCTGCACCTCCATGATCCCTTGTGAGTTTCTACAAATCGCTATCAGTACATTTGTTATGCCACACTGCATTCTTGTGCAAATCACATGCGATTTGTGTGCGGTTCGATTGGAGCCATATGGTTCAGGGCCCTTTTTTTTGGTCCGCACTAGATTCGGATCACATGGGTATTCACACCTATGCGATCATATTCTGCACATCACACCGCGTTTTACAGACCGCTTTCTGAGTGTTGTTAACTGATCATACACACCCCCAGTATTTTCGCATGAACGTTGTGCGATTCTGATGCGGTGCGGAATTTGCACAGAAAACACTGTGAATTCTGCACCGCATCAGTGCGAACCAGGGTTCAGTATCTCTATGTGTATTCCTAGTTTTCTTCCTGCTATGTGGCCCCATGCATTACTGCTCGCTCCTAGTAGTTCTTGTTTGTCTCTGTGCATTACTACTAATGCCTATTTATTCACTGTACGTCTGTGTCCTACTAACTGTTCCTGGTGTCTCTGTATGTTCCTGCACACTCCTGCCAGCTTGGGCTGTACTCAGGGGCGCACTGACAACTCATGGGGCCCCCTGGCAATAGGGGATCATGGGGCCCCTGTGTCCTTGCCCAAACTCAAAAAAGCCTATGAAAAAGGTACCAGGGGCATCTCAAGGGGCCCCCCACTGACCCCGGGCTCTCGGGCAGTGCCTGAGTTTCCAAATGGTCAGTCCGCCCCTGGCTGTACTACTTACTGACCTGTGATACCTGTGCTTCAGCACTGCAAGGCACTCTTACCTGCTTATCAGCTCTTAGTTCCCAGTGGCTGCCTGCACTGTTGAGTGAGTCCTCATGCACACTGGACGTTTTTACAGCTGCTGTTTTTGGCTTTTGACATTTTTTTTCTACAGCTAGTAAACCCCCCAGCATGTTATCCTATGTGTCCATGCACACAGACTGTAATCAATGTTTTTTGGCTGGGAAAAAAACCAGGACTAGTGGGTTTCTAGAGGAGTTTTTTAGCTGTAAAAATGCTCTAATGCTGAAAAACATGGTAAAACGCGGGCAAACCTGCGTTATTGGCCATTTTTGTTGACCAAAATAAAAAAATCTTTTTGGCTAATAAAAATTTTTTTTTGGTTACAAAAGACGCTAAAAACGCAAATGTGGAAAAACATGGGAAAACGCAGCTAAGCGCTAGAAAAATCTGAAAAACCCATGTTTTTAGCATGACTTTACACAGCTATTGTTACCAGCGTTATCAAAACGTCCAGTGTGCATAAGGACATTGTGGTTCCTTGGACTCCAATGACCCCCACCTTTGCTGTACGTGTGAACATGCTGTGTTCCCCTCCTTCATTACCAATATGTATCCTCCCTGCCCTAGACTCCTAGACCTGGAACCCCTGTCCCTCTATTTTCCTCATACATATCATTACCCATGTTTTCCTGTAAGCCCAGCATCCCACTGTTTTAAGATACTCCTGTACTCCTCTCTCTTTGTAGGCCCGGCGCCACGGCACTGTAAGTGTCTCTTACTAGCACTCCTGCCTACCTGTAAGGCCAGCGCCCCAGTGCTAAATATACTCCTGCCATTTCTGTGAGTCCAAAATTGTGTGCTCTTCCAGGTCATCTGTAACCTCTAAGCACACTTCCATCCCATGTTCAGACTGCGCAGTTGATCCTCGATCCCCAACCATTTGTGTTAGTCCTGTTGGTGTCCTTGTCTTTCCTGCTTCAAGTAATATATGTCACAGCCCTGCTATCTCTATATTGATCAGCCCCTTAAGCTCTTGTACAATTTTTTCTCATATAACTTGAATATAGTTTGGATTTCACTTTAGTTACCATTGATTACCATCCATTTTATGTTACACTAGGTTTAATCATTTGCTGCACTGATATTATTGTTCACCTTCTCATGAATGACACGTTGGGGTCAATTCACTAAAGGCTAATGCATGCGATATGAAGGTCACATGACTCATTTTTCAGATATATGGCATGAGATAATAAAAGAGTCAATTCATCAAAGAAAATTATCAAATGTGAGGTAAATGCTGCACATTTGTTAAAACAGTGAGATAAATACTGCAAAAAAATGAGATAAATCATTAACCGCTTTCTTGCCACCCTATAGCAGAAATACTGCTGCAGGGCGGCAAGGCTGCACGAAATCATGTATATACTGTATATATGATTTTGCATTTGGCCATTGGCGGCCTCAGCTGGCAATCACCGGTCCCGGCCCGTGATTCCCCGCCGGCACCCGACAATCGCTGACGGGGGAGAGATCTGTATGTAAACAATACAGATCTCTCCCCTGTCAGCTCCTGCACACTGCTTTGTGTGGCTCTGCATAGCAGAGCCATACAAAGCAATGTGCTTACAGTGAAACACACACACACAGCACACAGTAAAACAGTACACAGTTAACCCTTTGATCACCCCAGATGTTAACCCCTTCCTGCCCAGTGTCATTAGTACAGTGTCAGTGCTTTTTATTAGTGTCACTGGGGATGTCAGTGACAGTTAGTCAGTTCCTCCCCCCCCCAGTGTCAGAATGCCTGCCGCAGTCCCGCTATAAGTCACTAATCAACGCCATTACTAGTATTTAAAAAAAAAAAAATCCCAGTATATATTCCTCCATTTGTAGACACTATAACTTTCACATAAACCAATTAATTTACATGTATTGAGATTTTCTTTTTTAGCAAAGACATGTAGCAGAATACATTTTGACATAAATTTATAAAATTTTTTTTTAAAATTTGTTTACTGGACATGTTTAACCTCTTCCCGTCCAGCCCATGTTGATAAAAACGGCCAGACAGGAGCGCTACTGATGTGGGTGGACGTTTCTAAACGGTCCCCCCACATCCATTGCCTGTGTGTGCTCCCTGGGAACACCGATCGCTGTATGGGACCTCTGTGTGAGGTCCCGACTCTTGTGATCCCTGATTGGCAAATCAGAGATCACATGAACAGTGGCAAACAAGATGTCACTTCCTGACATCATTGCTTACTACTTGTGAAATCTGTGAATGATCACCGAGGTCACATGGTACAAGGCTATTCACAACAGCCTTGTACCATGTGACAAGCTGTGACCAATCACAGCTTTATCAGTATTTCTCAATGGCTGCAGGAATGCAGCCAAAGAGAATGAAAAATGATTGCTTTTCCAGCCTTTATGGGTATTAAAGCAATGAGTGT